GCTGCAGAACTTCATTTTCTTGAAGACGGTCTCAACAAGGGTTTTTGCTTAAAATATTTGAAATTACATGTTTCAGCACTCTTTGTTTTGTTTGGATTCAGATGGGCCCTCAGCTCTGATGTGGCTAGATTTATGAAGCTAGTCATGCAAATTAAATCCATTTCTCCTCCTTGGGACCTGCCTCTTGTCCTATATGCCCTACAGGTTTACCCCTTTGAACTTATTGAAGAGATTCTTCTGATGCAATCTACATTCAAAACGGCTCTTCTACTTGCCCTTACCTCTGGTAAGAAGGTTTCGGAGCTTAGAGCCCAGTCCTCACTGAGTCTTAAATCTCCTTTCAGCAAGATAAGATGGTTTCCAGAATGTAACTGAAATTAGAGCAAAAGTAGTATCCTTTTATCTCAATCAGGAGATCATTTTACCTTAATTTTTTCCATCACCATCTACAGGAGAAGAGAAGATGCTTCAAAATCTCAATGTGGTTAATTGTTTTTCCATTTATCTTGACCAAACCAGCAGTTGGAGGAAGTTCTCAAGGATTTTCATTCTCCCAGGAGGTCATGATAAAGGTTAGCTGACATCTCCTAAAATCATTCCAAAATGGCTAGTTTCTGCTATTTCTAAGATGTATGAGGTGAAGCAGGTTCCAGTCCTTAGGGTCTGAAAGCACACTCCACGAGAGCTCCATCTACTTCTAGAGCAACTGTTGCACAAGTCTTCTCTGATGAGATCTGCAGAGCGGCTACTTGGCCCTCTCAGAATACCTTTATTCAGTGCTATCACCTGGATGTTAGGTCTTCTAAAGAGTCTAAATTTGGCTTAGCTGTCCTTTCTGCCTCATCAATTACGTATTTTTATTAATACATTTTCAGCAGTTATTTTTTTTCGTGTCATGTGTATTCTCTTTACCCCAATATTTGTAGCTTGGGCATTGCCCTGGACTAGTGCTGCCATGGCCTTTGCTGGGAAAGTAGAAAGTTATTTCATACTGACTGTTTTCCTTTCCCGGTAATGGGCCATGACAGCAAAGGAATATATTGGTAAGTATGAAACAATTTTCCAGTATCCTGTCTATCTCCATTCCTATAGCCTCAATCCACAAACCCAGCTACATACAGATAAAAAATATTTCCACTAAGCACTACCCACCCTTCTGGTTCCTTCTAATGTTATGGCATGCTTCTCCATCTGAATGAGATGCCAGTCAATTACATTCTCACTAACTTTACACATTACCAGTAGCTGCAATTATCCCTTAATTTTCTACGGCCATCAACTCCAAATTTTCCCTGCTACCTTGTCTAAACTCCCGATTGTAAGAGCTAGAAGAGCTTCAGTGGCCCCTTCTATCTTTTTTACTGATCTGTGTATATTGTATGGTATTTCTCCCCAGTTGCACAGGAATATTATATCACAATACACCTGGTCAATTCAGTTAAATTTGTTGCTAAAACACTACCCTATTATATGTATAAGAAATAATATGGAGATATATTATGGCATCTTGTTTCACTTTGAGAATACATTGATTTCTTGTACAAAAACCATTTAATATAAGTATCAGGTGGTCTTATCTTATACTGTCACTGTTGGTGTATGGTCCAATTGTGATTTGCCCAGTGGAGTCTACAATTCAGAATATTCCAAGGATTGTGAAACAGGGAATGCCATGCAATGCCTGATAATTTACACTTCTATGATAAATTATCGATAGAGCTGGTATTTTGGTAAAAGCAAACACTTGGGAGGGAAATTTATGGTATACAGTTTGCCCTTATATTCAGCTGATTGCTTGTTGCAGTATTTTGTTTTTCTTTGTTTACTTAAAGAGACACTTCACTGCCTAAAAAAAATATTTAATCTATGTACCCTTTAAGGGGTTATATCCAGTCCCATTTTTACAAAGATGATGCATTCTTCACACATGCTAAAGCCCTTCAGTGTTCCTTTTTACTTTTCCGTTAGTTTTTTGGATAATTCAGCATGTTTCATATATGGAATTAAATATATTTTCATTTAGGGGCTGCAATCTGAAAGGGGTCATTCAATAAAAGTGTGCATGTCAAATTGTAGGCCAAAATAGCAAAAGTGAAAACAATGTTTACTTTTTACAATTGAACTATTGTGGCCTAAAATTTGACATTCACACTTTAGTGGATACATCTGAAAGCTTCGTTCTGTATCTAGCAGTGTTGTATACTTTCTCACCATAGGGTGCAGAGCAGGGGAAGCACCCAGTAATGAAGAGGGATATTCTAAATCATCATAACCACTATAGCATGTTTTAGTAGTTATTGTGCCTGGAGTCCTCTGGTGCCACCACACGACAAGCTGTCCAAATAATTTAAGAGTTTAACACTTGGCTATGATAGGCACCCACAGTCCTTACAGTCTCCGGGATACGTAAAAGCTGAAGAATATTTGAATGCATTCGCATACCGATAAATACCAACTTTTAAAATTATTTGATTCAGAGACAATTAGAGATCTCAATACAGACACTGAAGGGTGAATTCCTGCTATGCCAACAAATGCCCACTGCTCTGATCAATGTCATTTAATATCCCCATTAGAAGCATTATATACTTCTTATTTTTTATATTTTGCTCTCCCTCCCAACCTGCAGGGTATTTGCACCAAAAGTACTGCTGTAAATGATGTCATGAGTTGCCGTTCAGCTATTTGTTTTCTACAGCAGAGAGCTGATAACTTAACTACAAACCCCAGACACACCTGGCTGTGCTCGTAAAGCACTGTTTACAGCAAAAGCTCAGCAGTACCAGAGAACGTTCAGTGAGCAAAGAGTCACTTTCTGGGTTGGCAGGAGGTCAATGTAGAATCTGCATAGCCTGAGAATTTGCCAAAAATGCAGAGACTCAAACGAGTAGATTTTTTTTTTCCTATATTTTTTTTAATCTAGATCAAGGGTAATCAACCTGGTCCCTACCACCCGGTTTGGGATTTCAGGTGGGCGGTGGGTTTGTTTGCAGAAAACGCCCAGTGGGCATCGATGGCCGTGGACCAAGGGCAGCAAGAGAAAATCCTTTCATCTCCCCTGCTGGCCAATGCAGAGCCAGCCTTGCTGTAAGCCCTTTCAGGCTGGTGAGGAGATCAAAGATCTCCCTCACCGGCCCGCTGACACTTCTTTCCAGCAGAGGGAAGGACCTGGGAGACTCTCTGTTTCTCCTGCAAACAGGCTGGTTACCATGGAAATGCTCAGATACAGTGTTGTGCTCTCAGGAGAGTCACCCTGCACCCGGAGGAGCTGCAGGTTAAAGTGAACATGCCACCACTGGACCACCAGGGCTTGCAGCATTATGTCCCCCCTCCCTGGTAAAAGGCAAGAAGAGAGGGGGCGACCTTAAGATAGATTTTCTCATCTCACCCACCTACACACAGCATAGACCCCTATGCACCCTTCACACACACCCCTCACACAAATATATAGAAAAAAAATTGATAAATTAAGTACATTCATTGAGATATATAAAAATTGCACTTGCGCTATAAAATTTGTTATTTCAGCAAAAGGTTGACTACCCCGGATCTAGATGATGTAGTAAAAATGAATGGAGTGTCCTTTTGATAACTTCTGAAAAAGGAAAACACAAAAGGGAAAGAAACCAAATATAAAGAAAAGGGAGGCTATGTACCATCTGATTGCATGTAACATGCTTTATTAAGAGAATGCCAGATATTGTCACACTGCTCTCTATGGGATAAATGCAGTGCAGAGCTTAACTGGAACCTTCAATAGAATAATAGAGCGTTCAACTCTAATTTCGTCTAGGTACCAACATTGTAACCATTCGTCTTCCCCTAGACATGAATCCGTTATCTTACTGGAGTGGGTACGTGTGTTAGGTTGCATTTTATTCCCTGCAATGTGAGCAACCTTTTTTTTATTTTATTTTATTTATTTTTTAAGTAAAAAGTTCTCTATACAAACACAGCGGTATCTCAGATGTTTATACTGTACATTTTATACAAATTTAAAAAAGAAAAAAAAAATAAGCACACAGGAAACATTTGACAGCACAATTAGCATACGTTTCATCACCTAGTGCCTGAACTCAAAAATAGTGTATTTAGAAATTGGCAGCCACGTTCTCCCCTTCCCAACTTTACCGGCACTCAAATATTTAAATTTGTATTGCTGAAAATAACAGTCCAACAGAGAATTAAAAAAAAGGAGTCACATCTGGGGTTGTGCAAACAGAAATCCCATTAACAATGATCTCAAGATTCCTCAGCGTCAAGATGATCCCAGTAAAGTATTTTGGGCTGCCCGGTCAAGGCAGGGGGATTTACAAACCACTTGGACATTTAAACCTGCTTTTGGAAAATTAACCAAAATCATATACACATTCTATATACATATAGAATTTTTTTTTTTTTTTTAAGGCAATGAAATGGTGACATTTCCTAGGATCCATTCTAAGAAACAAATACATATATAGAATTAATTTTTCTTTTCTTCTTTCTTGATTCCTCGCTGGATCAAAAGTAGAAAATTAACAAAAAAAACATAAAAAACCATGCAAAACTTTTTTTTTTTTTTCCTCATGTGCACAAAATAATCCCAACGGTTTCTTCCCTCCTCCTTAAAATGCCATTTGGTATAACCGTTGAATCAGAAGCGAAGGGGAAAAGGAGTTAAAAAAACAACAAAAAAAACAAACATATAAAAACTCACATGTGCCAAAACCTTTCTAGATGTTGGTATTTTGCACATTCAGTCTAGTAAGGTTTTAAGAATCAAAACTTTCATCAACCATATAGGCTTCTGACCAAGGGAAAGGCACTGCAAAACGATAGATTGGCTCCTACTATCCGCTTGCAGGTATATGGAAATTTGTTAAAAAAATACATTTACCCATCCATTCATTAAAGCACAAAATTCGTGCCGCACAGTCATGTAGCTGAATTCATTTTTACAGCCCCCCCCACCCCCAATAAACTTTGTTTCTTCTGAAACCACCCAGAGATGCATGTGCAAGGCCTGGGGACCAATGGGGGATTTTAGACAGCGGTCTGCTATTTTATATTTTCTCAGTGCATTTTGCAGAAAGGGTCTGGAATTTGGCCTCTTATTTAACACAAAGGAGACCTCCAACATTGGCCATAAACTCTTCCAGGCTTTTGAGGAAAGACATCTTCTGCTTCCGGTCAAGAGTTGGGGGAGTACTGCTGGCCGTTAGCTTGTTGAATGCATCCGCTAGTCGTTGGTAAATGATGGGATCCTGTTGACTTGACAGCAAAGATTCCACAAGTTCTGCATATTCAGCCTAAGAAAACCCAAAATGTTCAGGAGAGATTAATGAAGTGGAATAGTAATGCACATAATTATTATTTTTAACTAAAATATGTGATAACATTCCAAATGAAAAACATGAAAGGTCTGACCGTGAAGTGACTGTACTACCATGGGTAATGTAGGCACAGTGGTAAACCGAGATAGCTTTCATGTAACCATTTGAGTGGTATAAATGGGCAATGCAAGTGGACAAGTGAGGGAATAAAGTCTATCAATTATGTCTATACATCTAACCAGTTCCTAAAAGCACACCAGATGTCAATATAGGGACAGAACTGTGAGATTCCCAAATCCTAGACTGTTCATGTATCCTAGGGGAAAAAGGGGGAGAGACAGTGCTAACTCCAAAGGCAGCAGAATAAGGGCTGTTACTTGGATACCCTAATAACCAAAGAGGAACAAGGAAAAAATACAGAAAAAAAACAGAACGCGCCAAATAAGAAATACAAGATCACTTGAAAAAGCCTATCGGTGAAACACGTTGTGATTATATAGGACTTTTTTAAACTTTTTTTTTGTGTGGTATATTACAGTAAACATTGTTTTAACCTTCAAAATTTTATGTGTTTTTTTTATCCTGCATTTTATTTTATTAATCTATAGGAACCTCCAAATCTACCTACATATATCCTTGGTGGGAATCATACCACCCAAGCTGATATTGAGCAAAAGGTGCTCTTGAAATTGTGAGTAGATTTTATATACTTTTTTTAAAACAGTACTATTGCTTAAAATGGTAACCACTAGATCTCGTTTTATTCCTTTCATATGCCGTTTACATTGGGAACATCTAAAGAGCACAGCTCCAGATTTCTACTTGAGCGGGGATTGTACTGCTCAGAGTCCTATCTAAGAGCTGTATTTTAACTTAATTTTACATAAGACACTATATATACTGGATTGCACTATTGGTGGTTTATTTTGTGTTTCATTTTATATGAGACACCAACAACAGATTACCTCATCTGCAAGTTTGGTCTACTTGAACACTGAGGATAAAAAACTGACCTCCAAAAAAGCACTATCTTCAAAAGGTTCATATACACACAAACTGTCAGAATTACTTGTTGATCCAGCACGCAGGAATAATATCACACCTAGGACTAAGGATAACGTCTAACCGTACCTTACAATGGCCAGGCTTAACGAACCCAAGAATAGTCAAACTACTTGCTGAGGTCAGGGATACAGAATGAGACACAACAATGAGGGAAAGCCAAAAGTCAAGGATACCAGAAATCAGGGAAGTCAAAATGAAGCCAAAGTCAAAAACTAGAAATATACGATCAGAAAACACACTCTCGGATAACCAGCAAAGGGAAACCACGACAGGGCAATGAGTAGAAGGACTAATGAGTTTAAATAACCCTCCTACAGATCCGATTGGCTGTACCTGACTTTTGACCCAAAAATGTGCGTCTTTTGCACGACGTCACACGCACGTCGACATTAAAGCGGGCGGATGTGGGGCTATAATATGGTGTGGGTCCGCAGCAGCCGGCGTCCACCGGCATGTTGCAAAAGTCAGGCATAATGGCGTAGGACTGCTAAGCGGCACTTTTATTATTCTTAAGAAGGGTATTAGTATTGTAATCTTTATATGTAGAGGATGGATTAGTGACACATACATACCCGAATATGATAATCTAGTATTTCTTATTTGGTGCAGTCTGTTTTTTCTGTATTTTTTCCTTGTTTATGTATCCTGACCACTGGACTGAGTACCACTAAACTAGAAGTAAACCTACCTGAATGTAGGTGGTCATCTGCACAATTGTAAATGACAAGTTTACTTCAATGCTTTACAGGGATTGGGTAACTGGCTGCTTTTAGGATTTTTAATGACAGCTTTTCAAGACATATGGAGCTGTGAGCTATTCGTCTACATTTCCATGTGCAATTAAAATAGTGTGTGTTCATTCTCAAAGTGTATTCCAATTACTTTTCAAATGCACAACATTCTCTTTTTTTTCTTTAGGACTTGTATCCGTGTCTGAATATAGGTGGCAACAGAGACGGTACTTTATACGAATACACAAAATGCTTATTTGATAGAATGTCAGTTTCCATGCGGGTAATATCTTGCCCCATATACAAATTTAGCCTGCACGTCATTATCACAAGTATCACAGTGCTTGGAAAACTTTTGATATTTATACACAAAAAGATCAAGGCAAAACGGTGACCACTTCTCACTACTGTGCTATTCACCAACTCTGCATAATTGGATGTGATAAAATGTCAATGGGTTACTGGGTAAAATGTTACTCAGCAAAAATAGGACAATATTTATAGCTGGGTTTTAGTAGTCCAATTTAGCTCTTTGATGCCCGCCTTCTCATCTTCCATTAATACATAGGAACTCAACATACTCTTCTTAAGACAGTTCAGATGGTCTTGTCTTCGAGTGCTTACTTCTTCCTAATAACTTAATCCACTCCTTTGATGAATTTAGGACAGGCGATTTAATCAATCATTTCTTTAAAATAACAGTGATAAAATAATCTCCAGAAATTATGCTGGAAGGGAAAGTGGTCTCAATCATTTTATACTGTGCATAACATTGAAAGGACTAAAACTACCTTCTTAAAGAATGTTGTATAGTTTTATGTAACGAGCCACACTGCACCATCACCTTTCAATTTTGCTACTTCCCATCCTGTTACTTGGTTGCTATCCCCACGCTTCCCTTCCTCCCCCATCTCCTCTGGACTGTAAGCTCGTTTGAGCAGGATCATCAACCTATTGTTCCTGTAACATTTTGTAATGGTCTTATTTATTGTTCAATTCTCTCTTTATAATAGTGTAAAGCGCTGCAGTGCTATATAAATGCTAAATAATGTACTGCAATTTAAAGGATTGATCTATCTCAAGGCAAGAAAAGATTTAAAAAAACAAAAGCATGCCTTGCGTACCTGGTTTAGACAAACTAACGTGTAAAATGCTTCCCCTGCCGCCGTCGTCATTTCCGTGTTGTGTTTTTGCAGAACGAGCATATCAAAAACCAGCTGAAAAAGCAGGAAATAATGTTGGTTACTGCATCACTTTTGGACATCAGCTCATGAATCCTGGCAATGGAAAAGGGTATTCTTTCCTACCTTGAGAAAATGTCGAGTTGCTAGTAGAAGAGGAGAATCTGTGTCATGTGCTTTAGCACACTGCTCGGCTAATGGGGTTAATGCTTCAAGGCAAAGCTGGGAGACCTCCGAACTCATTCTTTTTATTTTTTACACAATTAAAGAAACCAATTGATTCTCATAAAATAAAATATAAGAACTAATGGGAGAACGTTTTTTTAACCTCATTTTCCTAGAGTGTAAAGCTCATTTAAGCCATGCTTTCTTTATCTCTTGTGTCAATCAAGATTTTTTTTGACATTCTTTATTTTTTATTTTTCAGTTACAACATAATAATCATGTTGTAGCACTGAACATGTTTAAATGAACATTAGTAAAACAATTAAACCTCTAATGTGTGGAGGTAAAAAAAAAAAACAGAACTAGCTGTATTCGGTTCTATTTTGACGAGAGAAGGGCGTATTTCCGCGTTGATTATCTGTTATTAGTATCTGTGTTTACGTGCGTGTAAGTGATTATATACCTTGGTAGTTATTTCAGTTGGTTTGTCAAAGTCTTCGTTTTGCTTTATGACCTCTTGCTGTGCTTCGTTGTGTGTGCCTTTTGCTTGGTGTTGAGCTTATTTTGGGGCTCATCTATATAGCTTGTTCCCGAGTCGGGACTCCATGTTTTAGTGTGTTTCCCTTTTTGGGTGTTTTGCATGCTCTGTTTCTTTTGCCCTATGAGCTCGGGTGATCATAGCAATTGTTTGTGGTTCATTTGTGGGCCCTGGGTCAATCAAGATTTTGGTCTCGATGTAACATTGCTGAGTTAGCTTTCCAACTGATTTATTATTTTTGGACAAAATTTTAATATGATTTTTTTTTTTTCAACATATGAAAATTTTAAATATATCTATCATATAAATATATATAAAAAAATCTAAAAAGTACAAGTAAAATGTTTTTCACAATATTAAATTATTTCAAAAGATTATTAAAAAATAGCACGTCATTTGACGAAAAAACCCCCCAAAAAAACACAACCTGTTTCCAACAATACTAAATTGAGGCCTATGTTTTATTTATACAACATCATTGTTTAAGTAGAAAGCTATGAAAACAATGCTAGTGCTATATAAATGTGAATAATAACAGTAATAATGGTGGCTCACATGGTTATGGTGATTGGCATTACATAATACCACACATACAGTATTCATTTTACGTAGAAAATACGTTTCTCTACCGTGTCTCTGCTCATCACCGAATGCCTGTAAATGCCAATCCCCTACTACTAAATACTGCACGCAGCAATGGCAATTAAGCCAGGCATGTATATGTACTTATTATTTGTGCCCATTTTAAAATTCCGGAGCTGCAATCTGAAGTATTATTCTAATCTAAGTCTCACCTTTTGTGAAAGAATGGTATTGATCTCTGAGATATTAAAATAAGCAATATTATGTAATATCACAACTTTTCATCCCTCAAAATTTCATTATAGGATAAACAAAAAAAAAAAAAGGGGTACTTGGGTACGACATAACTGTAGATTGTAGAGACTTGCTCTGCATTATGAATTCTAAACTGCCATGGGTCCATAGTGGTATATACCTTCGCTTGATACTCTCACTTATCATTTCTTATAACTTAAAGTGACTCTATAGTCACCAGAACAACTACCGCTTAATGTAGTTGTTCTGGTGACTATAGTCAGTCTCTCACTCAGTTTCCCTATGGGAAAGCATTGGATAGGCTGGGATCATTAGTTCTGATGTCAGTCAAAGAGGTGGATTGGAGGCGAGGCCAGCACCGGCAGACCCATGTGTAGGTTATTTGCCTTATATTCTTGTTTTCTGCAAAGCCACTAAATTGATTCTAACACAAGATGGATGCCATCTCTGGTAGACATCTCTATTGAGATCTAGAGAAATGGAAGGATACGATGTCATTCCCAGCTCCAGCGAGTACATCAGGCTCTTGAACAGGTCTTCAGGAAGCTGAGGAATCTTTTCAGGGAAAATTTCACATATAAAAGTGATGAGTCTGTAGTATTGATTGCAGAGTGAAGGGAACTGAAATAAACCCATAACTAATTAGAACAACCAATCCATGCATATATAGGAGTATGAACTGCAATCTGCAACATGGAATTAAAAACATCCGACTGGCAGAGGGATGGCAAGTTCACTACTTAGGGTAAAACTTCAGGTCGTATTAAATTATAACATTAAGCAAAAACAAACTGTGTCCCAAGAGGCCTCACGGATTAATGCTAATTTTCCAACCTGTGATTCATGTACCTTCTAACAGTTAAAAAATTAATAGAGCAGAAATGAATGGTATTGATGGGACAATGTACTGTTAAATATGATGTGACGCATGCAATTAAAGAATGAAAATTAGCAAGTGGAACAGTTCCATGAGAGGAAACATATTGGAGAGCAGTACGTTTATCATAAACCCTTTCTTTCTAGATCCATTTAGCCATTTGTATATATTCTAGCATCAATTGCAAGAGGGAGGAACCAGCTGGAAAGTGATGGCCAATACTACAGTTAAAGGAGATTTGCTGCAATTTGGGCAGAGCCAGCCATTGAGGGCTAGATTCTATTAGAGGGGATAAGCTTATCTCATGTAATCGAATAGCAATTCTTTTTTTCTCCCAGAAGATAACTGGAAAACTGCTTGTAAAAAAAACCCAAAAACAAAAACAATAATAGAATTTAGCCTGGTATAGGCAAAGTTACCAAGAATAATTTTTCATTATCTTTATCTCCTGCCAAAGATTACTGAGCTATGCCAGTGTACTAACAATAACAGAATGTCACAAATTCTTAGGAATGCACAATAAAGGAAGAAGTTCTCTCTCTCTATATGTATTTCTTTACTTAACAGGGCCTTCTCTTCAGGGCCTTTGTTGAGTACATAGCACAGATTAGAAGATATCCTCCAGCACAGTTAAATGCCATTTTAAAATACAGATACAATATAAATATTGTCCCCTCATTCTACAAGGAAACATACAATACATACCTTTAGTAGATCTTGAGACATTAAGGGTAGCACGATATTTACTCCATATAAAACCACGTCTGCTGCAGATACTGGCCTGTTGGTAGCTTGTCCTTGCTCATGCGGTCTAAAAACTTCATCTGGAAAGAGATTAATAAATTCAATATCCCGGTGACAAACTTATACTACACACCGCACTCCTATACATTATGCGAATATCACAAAGTATGACAAGAAGGATACCTACAAAAGTACTGCACTATTATTTAGATCCATCCAATCAAGCACAGTACCATCATGTGAACAGAAATGTAAAGATCTAAGAAACACCCAACACGTAAGACAATACGTACAGAACAAATCTACAAAGTCAAACATATAGAACTACCAAAAGGTTCAGCATATTCAGGGTTTTTATCAAAGTGAGACTTCAAAGTGAATTTAAATTTTTCTCCCCCAGTTTGGCTATTTCGACTTAATTTGATATCCACTCAGGGCTATTCATTAAAGTGAAGATTATTTTAGTCTAGAATCACAACTGAGAAAAAAATCACGTCCTGTCCTAGGGCAATCGATGCAGATGAACCAGTGAGTCTCCAAGACATATTTTTGCGTCAATTAGACATTTTCACAAATTACTGTATCAGCCGGCCACTGAAGCTCTCACTCTGGAAATCGTTTTGCTGCTATAAAAATGTAAGTTAAGTCCTGCGCTCACTCCCATCACTCCTGGGCGGCAGCAACAACCTCAGTACACATCAGCCCCAATATATAGTTAAAAACCATTAACTATATATTGGGGCTGATGTGTACTGTGGGACTTTTTGTATTTATATTCACTTTTTGTATCACACAGCCTTGTTACAATGCTGCCGCCCATCCCAGGTTTTCCATATTAAGGGTTAATAAGTATGTCTCAGTGGAGATATCTTTGCCAGAAGCTCAAGGAAGCAAGGTGAAGGGTCAGTGTAGGACCCACCTGAGGGGGGTCTGCCTTGACGTTGGCAGGTGGGCATTCCCTCCAATGGCCATTGGAGAAACTAAATTACCTCCATTTGTCTAGATATACATAGGGATTAAGGAGAGCGCGCAGGTAATTTTTTTTTCCCCTTTCTTTTCTTTGGTATGTAAATTTAAGGCAGCAAAAAATTAGGACATACAGAATAAATACCAATTTTTCAAATATTGGAATTCTGAGAATACATGTATATATACATGCTTAATAAGACTTTCACCTAGTTACAATGACAATAAGAACTGGAGGGCCAAGCACAGATATGCGAGGCTCATCTAGATCCCATTACTTCTTTCTATGGACAGCAATAAATACCTGTGTCACTGAAGTCAATGAACTCTTTGGAGAGCAAGTTGGTGAGAAGTTCCATAATGAGCAGAAGATCCTGATACTGATCCTCCTCGGCTGTTACATCAATGCGCTTCCTGCCCATATTATTCTTGGAATATACTTGAAGCAGAGTCAGGCATGCTTCATACAGGTTCATGGCTTTTGACTAAGAAAGAAGCAGAGAAACAGTCCAGCAACGTTCTAGTGCCTGTACATTGGCAATATCTAGTGGCAACATTCACATTTCTCTCATAGGAAATATGTTTAAAACACAACACACTATGCATTAGAGGTGCACACCTTTCAGCAAGGACCAGACACTAAATTTGTAATGCACAGTTCCCACACAATGCTGTTAATCTCCAGATTAAATATTGCATTTCACAATCAGTTGCCTTTGGAACACCACCCGCCCCCCCTTAAAAAAATAAATAACTCCTATCAATGTAAAAATAAGAGAACATCAGTCCCCTCCCCTCTGCCGAATACCTCAATAGGTAACTCAAATAGCATAGCACAAGTCCCAACTTCATTAGTTGAATGTATGACTACAGTCTTAAAAGTTTCCTTTCTTGAACAATAGGATTTTGTCATGCACCTATTTAGAGGGACATTCCAAGTATAACAACCATTACAAGGCATTGCAGTGGTTATGGTGCAAGAGGCTATGGATTCAGCTGTGCTATTGTTTTGGTGACAAACATTTTGATTGAAAGATTGTAAGAAAAAAAAAAAAAAATGGCAGAATTCCCCACGACCCAAAATCCACCCCATAGTTTGCGATATTATGAAATCGAATTTGACTTCCTCATTATCTGTCTATTATCACCCCCAACCTCCCAACCAGTATCTAATTTCTACTTAGCAGAAAAGTAGACACTTTGACCTGGATATAAGACAGGTCCCAAAATTAGAGTGACTAGTATGGCTTTAAGACGTAGTGTATACTGCTCGATATCGCACAGAAACAGTAAGTCCCATGACTACTGGATGTTTGGATGTAGCAACAAACAACAAACCAGCACGCACCTCTCCAAGGTAACAGATCTGTTTATGTGCAACTTCTACAAATACTTCGATAATGAGGTTCACAGTTTCTGGGGTGTTCTTGTAGACTTCCATTAAACCAATGCAGTTCGTTAAAAAGTCCATTAGAAAATTGAAGAGGATTGCTACATTGTCAATCTGAGTAGCCTCTGCAATGCCACAGAGGGCTTCCAGTGTAGCGGTAATCTCCTGCTTCACCTCCTCCTCTTGGCAAATCTGCTGGAAGTTCTCCTGATTGATGACATTCAAAAACCGCTGCTGAAGAGGCTGCAGGACCTATTAAAAGACTCATAGGGATGAGTTGGCAAATGTCTATCCTGGCACATCAAATGCAGAAAACCACTTCTCTTTGACATATGCAAGCCGTGTGTGTCTAGCTCAGATGTCAACCGAAAGGGACTTTTTTTCCTATTTTTTTTTATTATTTCTTTTTTTTTAATAAAAGCACACTAAAATTATATATATTTATTTAATATACACACACACACACACACACACACACACTTTCAGAGTAACACTTTTCTAATTTAAAATAAACAGCCTTCAACAACTAGATACATAGAATATGGTATTGTCAATGCATTTATGCTGATGTGTGAGGAATCAGTATTGTCTATGTAGATGTGAGGAAGATCCTTGTAAAAACAGATCCGTATGCTAGAGAGTAAATACTATCACACTCTTGTATGTGCTTACCTCTGTCCAGTACTGTTGTTTCATGTCTGAATCCATATTGGCAAATCCCCCAAGAACCAAAGCTTTCATCAGTGTCCTCTGAACAGAGCTGGACAGATAGTTAAGGGGTGGACTTCTTCGTGCAAACTGCTTAGCCAAATTCCACCAGTTTTCACACTGAATGACTACATTTGCTCTATAAAATAGGAATGCACGTTACTATCATTTTCTGAAGATCAATCACAATGGTTTTACAGCTGTGCTTTTTGTTTTTTAAAACAAAAACAATAAGAATGTGACACATTTCACCAAAAAAGCAGTAACTATGATAAATATCAGAGCACGTGTTGCACAGAAGATTCTTACCTCTCTCTCCGATCTACCAAAGTAACCAGTAACTGGACAGTGTCGTTGGCCAATTCCTGCTCTGAGCTCCACACAGAAAGATTGCTGATCACTTTCTCTAGGAGATAACCAATGATCCATTGAGCACCTTCTGTGTCCGCCCCAAATGCCGTACTAAATGACATACTGATCTGCAGGATGGAAACACAATGAAGATTTATAAAGTAATATATTTACATGAATCTAGTCGTGTGTATGTGTGTGTGTATATATATATCCAAAGTTATAGACTGTACATCATGGCTCCAACTTTTAAAGTAAAAAGTTAGTCTATATAAATTTACAAACACACACACTTAATACAACACCTTTTTAATCAGCCTTTCTCCAGGCATACAATATCCTGAAGGGTACACATGACAAGGTATATTATCTGAAACTGTTAATATTTTAGCTAAAATTATGGGTTACCAGGGAGTACCTTAAAAAAAACCAAAAAAAAACCACACAAATATAAACCCCACCTGGTCATATAGTTTTTCATCCACGAGAAGGTAGGTTTTTGCCCAACGCTTCAGGAACCAAACAATATCTTTTCCCATTTGAGGACTTAAGAGGTGTGTTAAATCTGCCCTTGTGGCTCGAGTCTCTACTTCCGATACTCTCAAAACCGCAGAGAGTAACCTGCACAGGAGAGATGGAAATCCTGTTAGCAAAACTGGTGGGTGGCGGGCAAGTAAAAACACATTGACAAACTGAGAAACTGTCCCTAAGCTTTATGTAATAGTCTATTTAAAAAAAAAAAAAAAAAAAAATAGTTTCTTAAAGGATATGTGCAGTATTCAATACCACCCCTACATATTGTAGCAAGTAAAGAAAGCAGCTGCCTGTCTCTCACCTGATGACGGAATCCGTTCTGTTGCACCCAGGTATGGAGGAAGCCTTCTCCCCAGGAGATCCCAGAACCTGTAGTGTTGTGTTGATGTCAACCTCGGCTGATTGCTTAATGGAATATTCCATTATTTCTGGAGGTATTAACGGAGTCTCACCCTGAGTATCATCGGCCAAGAGGTAGCCTGGATTGATAAAAATAGATGAGGAGAGTTATAGCAATGTGCTTTATAGTGTATGAGGCCTGTACTGCACTGACTCACATGAACTGTTGTATTCTGATAGTACTAGTCTTGAGTGGACATCATGCATGTGTTACATATTGTATCCTTTTCAGTGGTAAAGAGATATACATACTGTATTTGAAATTCCCTCTGGGAATGCCACAATAAAATTAAACGTTGACTCCAATATAAAACACAAAGTCTCACGATTAAAAAGGTTTTTATTTCATTTTCTTATGGAGTTTTGTTTTACTCTACTATGTATCAAGATCCACAAATGTGTTTTGTAGCCAAAATTTATGTTCTGTCTAGGTGGACAAAACCCGCACCTCATGATAGGAACCTGCACAACAAAATCTGCAAAGTCTATAAGCCACACCAAGGAGTGAACTGCGGTTTATTGCAAGAGCAGCCCTAAAGTGGTTTGTGTGCCTAGTTGTTGTACGCAGGCGTAGTAGTCGCACAGCGCTTACCTGTAACTAAGATAAGCCAATGAATGTCCTCATAGAGATCATCCAGCACTTTGTTATCAGTAGAGCCTGATCCGGATCCTGGGGAAGCTAGCAAGTGTTGCTGATACCTCTGCAGCTGCCCATGAAGTCTGGTCACTCGGTCCTCTAGTAAGCTGAAAGGGTAATGTTATGCATTTGATATTTATTAAACTGAATTTCGTCAGAAAGGTTTTCCCACAAAACAAGTTTATTAGCTATAACCATTTAGTGAATAGGAGTGTTTATAAGCAATGTAAAGATGGCATCACATGTGGCAACCGATCAGTAAAAACAGGCTTGGGAAAAATCGAACTTACTGCTTTTTCTCTTGAAAATACAACCCAGATGCCAATGGAAAGGCTGCCATTTGGATATATAGACTTGGGGTAGAAGGCTCACAAGACCAACAAATTACATTCCATGTCCAGTCAACAAAATAAAGCAAGGATAGCAAAAGTTTTTGTAAAATGTTTCCCATGTTAGAACCTAGAAAATCTATTGCTATCAAATGGCGTAATTTTATAATTTATATAGCGCCATCAGATTCCGTAGCACTGTACAATGGGATTTATAAAACCTGACCTAACATTTACAAGTGAAAGGTCATCTTTAAAATCAAAAAACGAGTTAGGTGTTTAATGAAATGGTTGTGTTTGCCCATGAATGTACCTAGTAAGTAGAGGTATACAGTGATCTGCTGCAATCCTGCCAAGCATGCCAACGCTCGCTAGTTGGTCAGAAAACAAGTCACGGTCATCCTCTTGAATTTCATTTATTTCTTCTTCCTCCCGAGAAGCAACACCATTAGCAGTCTGTAAACAGACAAAAAACTAAAATGAAGATATGTAAAACACACACACTCTAAACATCAATTTCACTATAAATGGATGCCTTTTGGATAAAATGGCTTAGCTATCAGCTTGCAAGAGCAGGACCTGACATTTTATCTGAACCACTAGATCTCTGGTCATGTTGAATTTCACATACTGCTTCAAAAATTGAAACTAATTTCTAATCTGGTTATATTAAAACATTAAAGTGCACCGCCAAAAATAAATCTTAATCTGCCTTTTCCGATTGAATAAGATTAAATTTGCCTTGTCACCAATCTTCTTGTCCTCTGGGCACATGACTAACTCAACAGTGAGCCATAAAATGGCCATTCTAAGAACACATTTTATAAAAATAGGTTTTAACATCATGCCAGGGAAGGAGCACAGTACTAATATCTGATGTCAAACAGGAGCAGAGACCTTAAAATAAAAGTTGGCGTGCATATCAACATGATACACATTTGGCCCAGTTCATAATGAAGCCTCTGTGCTTATCTGTTCATACTGTACAACTGGTTCCTTGTGTACTTTTTGTTACTTGGATCAGTGATACACAAGGTAAATAACTATCTTATGTAATGAATTATCAGCAAAACTGAGTGTTTATAGGACTATACATGGTCTCACAAGTGACAATATTACGGACCAAATTATAAATGTGAAAAAAATTTCATGGTCAACAGGTCTGAAAAAGACACTGCACGCTCAGTTCACATAAGCTCAATTATGTGAAACCAGTGATAGTTAGTCTCACACTACTTGCAATCAAAAATGAGACAGTAAATATTGGGCTGTCTGGAACATGGTTATATCCTATAGGCAACCCACTCTGTGCCATCCTGCCACCAAGAGATGAGGTAATAACCCTAAATCTAGCACAATCGAATGTAAAGGTTTTGACATGAATAAAATATGGGTCATGAACATCAAAATAAAATGTGAATATATTAAAGAATCAAATATTATTACGTGTGTGTGCAAAAAGCTACAGATTTGAAAATATCTAAAGGGATTTCAAAAGTATAGAATAAAATCCACAATTCTGGATAAAGCAGAAGCTATCGTTACAAAACCAGTAACTAAAATGTTCTCCCAGCTGAAGCGGGTACAGAAAATACTGTATGCCCAACGTGGAGCCACACACACACACATTTGCTCTGTATTAACATGAGATTAAATATTCAAGTAGCGAGCCTTAAATGAATGTAAAATTAAATTGGGAAAAGAACGAGGATGGGCCAAGTATGCCGACGGAAGCTGTAGCACACTTCAATGCTTTTTGCGCCACACTTTCCAGATTCCGATCTCCCCTTAATCTAAACCACCAAACACTTCTCTTTAGGTGACTTCAAAGCTGCAGCTGCCTCCTTCCTAGATCTTCACATCTATCTGTAAGCCATGACCACCGCTTTGAAACCAAACAAGTAGAGCCCTGGAATGTCAGCTGTGCTTTAATTTGTAACTTTGAGTTAAATATCTTATTTGATAGAGATGGGTGCTGACCAAGCTTCTCATATGTAAAGATTACATTTAACCCAGGAGAATGAACATCTGATTTTATTAGTGCAGGCATAAAACAGCCATCCAGTAGGACAGCATTTGCAGGACATATGCTAGGCTGACTGGTGACAAAGAGAACATCTTCACTCTGAACAATTCTGTTACACACACATATCTTCTTGACAAAGTCAAGGTTTTTTACTAAACTGAAATGTTTGGGCCAAACGATCCAAACGGAGGAAAAAAATAAATTCCAATACTTTTGGCTGAAACTTTGCAATTCTGTGGTCAATGAATAACATGGATATAAATCAGTGACAACACAATAGACATCACTATATCACATTACCATAGATTCTCATTCTTTACATCTAAAACTTTACACTCCAGACACAAACACTATGACAAGCCAAGTGATACGATACAATTACATCTGCTCCAGCATAACAGACAGACACCAACAGCTCCACACATTAATGATGAGATTTAGAAAGCAGGGCCCTCAGCCAAGAACAATAGACAATCAAATGCACAACACCACACTTGTGCTATACATGCCACAAACCGAAATTAACAAAGTACCACTTCTGGCCACATACAATCCTGAACTAAAGGTATTAAAAATAATCTGATACAGACTCGTCAAAAATAACACATTAAAAAACAATTTTTGGGACCTCACTCCACTCCTGATAGACAACCTTCAAATCTAGAGATATTTTACAGTGAACAGTCAAACAAAAAACAAAACAAAACTGAAATACACATAAGACTCTCTGGCAACATATATCTTGCACAGTATTATAGATCTCCACGTCTATCAACTATGTGGCTATTTGTTACTGTTTGCTATATAAATGGAATAAAATGATCTGCCATAGAAGAGTTTGTAGACGTCCGGTACATCTGTGTAGTTAACGTTATTGGAGAGAAAATCGCAACACATATGAAACAGTGATACACAAAGGAAATAGAACAAATCTGACAAACATTTGTGATTCAGAACCAAATAGATGTTTTGTGCCCAAATACTTATGTAGTTCTTCACTGCGTTTTAAACATTTCTGAATAGTTTTTAAAAAGGCAACAGACAGATTAATGCATAACAACTTGCTTTGCCAAAAGGTCAATTTTAAACAGAAATTCAAAAAGCACAGCTATCACATATACGGAGAGCAGAATCCACACTTCCTCACAATTTCACTGCTATTCCACATTCTGTGGGATCTAGACTGTGAGTGTGGAGCATCAAGTTAGTCACCAGCAATCTTGAATATAAGGAATTTGCACACCCTTGCTCTAGAGAATGATTACACTTACCAAGTTCCTTGTGCCCTCCGGAGCAGCTAGGTGACACTGGATATGAGAGTTAAAGACCTGGACGGCATGTTGAGTAAAGAAGCCTTTATGGAAATGTTTATCATCTTGTACCAAGGTGAGCCAGGATTCTAGCAGCTTATCGTAGGCTTCCATGTACACCATGTCATCTTTGTCGAGCTGCAGGAAGAAAAACAGGGGCATCGTCAGAAACACTAGCGTGACCGGTTAACCAGCCACTGGAAAAAGCACAGTCAGAACATGCTGAGCTTTTCAAACAAAGCAAATTGAAATAGTTTGTATAATCTGATCCATATGTGGTGAATAGAAAGAATCCTTAGCCTCACTGAAGACTCACGCACGAACACAAACTGCCAAAAAAAAAAAAAAAAGTTCTCTCAGAAAGAATTGCCGTAGCGTCATAAGAATATTTTTAAAGGAACACTGTAGTGTTAGGAATACAAACTTGTATAACTAACATACATAAATAGGTAGTACCGAACTACCTATTTATGTGACCAGCTCCCCTTAGAATGGAGATAAAAGGTTAGCTTACCTTTGCTTCATTGCCATGCTGGTCTTGCCTCCATCACTGAGATCAATCTTGATAATCTTAGCCAATCCAATGCTTTACCATAGAAAGCATTGCGAGGCTATTGGCTAAACACATGGCTGTGCCATTCAGCATCTCCTCATTGAATCATGCATCCTGCAGAGCAGGGAGACGCTGAACGCACGGTGCAGCACTGAGATAGGAAGCAGCTCAAGTTGCTGTCTGAGTAACTGGCACTAGAGGTTGTAATGTAAACACTGCCTTTTCTCTGAAAAGCCTGCAGGGATGTAGTATGTAACAGCTAGTGTAAAAGAGTGAACTGCAAGTAGGCTATACATTTCAAGTACTGCCTGGATACACATATCTTGTGCCTTGTTTATTGTTTTTGTTTTTTTGGTTTTTTTAAATGCAACATTCCTTTTGAGTGCTCAAATTATTAACTTTTTTCATGGAATAAAACTCCTTAAAGTGGCAAAATAACCAATAAAGCTTACAGTCTTTCGGTACAATCTTCTAAGTTTTTGACGATTTGAGCAATTTGACAAAAACATATGTTTACTTTGAGTCAAACCCCTTGCCCCTCTATTACAATATCACGTACCATTCTCATTCCAACACTGTTGTTCAAAAGTAGACGACTAATGCGAAAGGTCACTTCTGCCATTAGCCATACTGCGACAGAGTGGCTGGACTTTTTGCCAAACCATTCAAACAGTTTCACAGAAGCACCCCAAAGACTCTCTGCACCATCACCACTGAATTCACCTACAGAGGTTCTAGTACTTCCAGTGAATCTTTAGTAGAAAATAATTAAAATAATCACAATAATTACACTGATAGACCATTGTGGTAGCCGGTAATCCTCCATAACTGATAAAGATTCAAACACAGAACATCTTACTGTGCCCCCCAATATACTGAAGGATTTTCAATCTGTCCAAGAGAAGTATGCTGCAATAAAGAAGCCAAGGTAACGGGACCCAAAATAAACTTTGAGGGAGCCGCAGCAACGCCACATACTGCCGTGTGTATATAAACATATGGGTGTTGTTTCGCAGTCTCTAAATCCTTTCTGCTTGCCGTATAATCTCCACGGTCTAGACTCGCTAGTTCAAAGCCAGAGTGAATCGGTCAACAGATCATATAGCAGGACTGAGGAGAGATCTAGCAGCTGGACAGGACAGTCAAGCACTGATACACTTAAAAAGTTAATTAAAAAAATATCAATAAAAAATAAAATCTTTTTATAGCAGCTTTTAAAATGAATGTCTAGTTAAACGAAGCTGCTTGTTTTGAGTGTAGTTTTTCTTTTACTTTATTTCTTTAGGTTATCAGGATTCTAAAACAATATCTAAAGGGTTTATTCACTACACAGGGAAAAATGGGAGGTGGCAACGAATTGAGTCATTTAAGCCCAAACTGCAGAAAAATAGAAGACTTAGAATTTTCCCTTTTCATATATTTTGGCATAAAATTTGCAATGACTTTGTCAGATGTTAGTTATTCTTGGTTTAGCAAATAACCATGTCAATGCCATCTACAGTCTAAATGACTGCACCCATATGTTTTCTTTATTTATGACTTTTTTTCTAAAATAATTTGTGTTTATTTAGATTATTCTCAACCTTTTCACTATTTCCCATGGAACATTGTCATTATAAGCTTTTTGGGACATCCCATTTATCCAACTAAACATCCTCTGTAGCCAGGCTAATGGGTATTCACGCAGTGATCTTCACTCACAGCCAAGCGTGCAGTTAGAATCCTTGTGATAAACTGCAATAGCTCTGTGGGTTTCTAACTGCGCACTGGGAAGGACTGCTGATGAAATTCTACTTCCAAACCTTTAAATCACTTAACATGGCAGCACTTCTTGTAGTAAAAAGAAAGTGTCAGCAAGGAAATCAAAAGTAAATACAGATAAAATAAAAAAAAAACAAAAAAAAAAAAACACCTTAGTCACAAATAAAGAAAGCCTTATATTAGAAAAAATAAGATTGAATATTAGATAGAGCTTTCTTTTGAGAAAGATAAAACCATTCTAAGGAGGATTTAAGGTATATGCTGAAATGGGCATTACACAATTTTCCATGAAGATGACCGACAAAGCAGATTTATTCTAAATATCTGGAGCACACAGAATGAAGAGTAAGTCCTCATCTACTTCTGTGTTTGAAGCACCATGTAAGACAATGAAGACTAGCCTACATCTCTAAAACTTCCCGTGTGTCTTGCCATGGGATATGTAATATTGAAACGTCCGTAGGGTAAAGGTTACCAAATTTCTGCCTTTTCAAGGTCTTAACACCATGCATTGCTTTCCTTAATTTTTAATGTTAATGTCCTCTTTAAGTCGTTGCATGTTCTTTAGCAGGGGTAAGCAACCTTCGGCACTACAACTGTTGTGAACTACATCTCCCCTGTTGCTTTGCCAGCATTATGGATGATGCAGTCCACAACATCTGGACTAATGAAGGTTGTGCATCCTGGTTTTATACAATAAGGTAGAAAATAACAGTTGAGAAAACAAAAAACAAAACACCTCTATGTACCCGTGAAGATAGACACAAGGCATAGTAAAAATATATTACACAATTATCAGGCACATAAACAGGTTGGGTGGTTCTATTGATCTGTCTAGTATACATGCTATTCCAAACAGTTCCCGTCTGGTCTTTCTAAGATGCAGAGTACGCCACATAAGCCATTCGTATTAATTGTAGCTGACAGATTCACAGGGTAATTTTAGGATAAGATTTCCCAACACCAGTCATCATGTCCCAGCTAATTAAACCACGCATACCGTTTTCATAAACATGCTGGTCACTAACCCGATATGATCAAGATCACAATGTAATAATGCACTGGACAACACTCATGGGGTTATTCACTAAAAGCAGAAATTGTTATTCTATGTGAATTTAAGACTAGTGTTGCAATTCTATTTTAATTTGAAGCACGTGAATTTTCGGCTAGTAGTTCCCAAACAAGTGTACATGGCCCAGCAACAGTGTAGAATTTTTATATTTCTATTCTATTCCAATGGAAATACTGACAAAACCCGGACTGGTTTGGGAACCACTAGTTCAGGCCAATATAGCCAAACTTTGAAGATGGCTCAACTGACGAATGTTTTCCAAGGTTTTTCGAACTTCGATTTAAAATTCATTTTGAATACCAGACATTTCACACATCATATTATGGTGGCTACTTTACAACATTTTGGTATTCTTTTCTATCAAGTTTCTTCCATAGTCTATATTGAGCAATCTCTTCTAGGCTGCTATTAAACATTTCATGTACATATTTTAGCCAACATTAGTGTATATCAGAATTCCTTGCTTGCTCTCTACTGATAATGAAAAGTGAATTTTGTGTTCCTTACCACTTCCTCCAGGGCAGCACTTCGTCCAAAGGAACATGTGAGATGTGTAAAACAGTTCACAAACGAGGAGAAAAGGTCACTAGGAATGGCGGTCAAAATATTTCGTGGAAAAACAGTTATCAAATTGCTGATTATATTTGAAACTCCCACGGCTTCCGAATCCTCAATTTCTATCCTAAACAAGAAATCAGAGGTGAGCTTATTATCAATTATTTTAAAGATGTCACGCTTCAATGCATCAGTACACTGCTCGGCTTTCTTAATCATCACAGCAGGTTTGGTGACAAAGTCAAACTTCCAACCCTGAGACAGATTATAATGTACACACACACACAAATATGTATATGTCCAAAAATGAAAAAAAAATTTGAGGTGGGTTAATAAGGCTGAGATGAATGGCAGAATAAATATAATAAATACCCACAGGTGAGCACCGTATACCCAATGAAATGATCACAGCACACAGAGCACAATGTGTTAAGGAAATTAAAATAGGCACAATTAATTTCAGTGAGAAATAAAAGTAGGTGCTACATACCCATTAATAGTATTAAGTAATCCTTCAATGAAATGTGCCAAGTAATCAACCTGCGACCGGTCATCGGGGAAGATAGGTCCGTGGAGAGATGCAAGCTGGGCCAAGCACTGAAGAGAGTCCTGAGCCATGTCGGTATCCTCTCGGATCTTGCGATGTACCTGTGATAGACAGCACAATCATTAGCTTGGTCACACTCTAAAAAGAAATCCAATACAGACGAAGTCTCCCAGTGTGTACGATTATTAGAAAGCATTAGCAGGATTCTTGTCCAGACACTGTCCTGCAGCATTAACATTCCCATCCAGCTGTGGGTACATGGTTTGAAGTCAGTGAAACAGTCCCTGAGATCTACCTTCATGAAGAAGGCCGAGCTAGAACACATGCCAGCCTCAGACGTCCTGCTCCTTCTAAAAACAGCAGTCATCTGGAGTATGCCAGCTATGCCTCGGCTATTGCGTCTGGCTAAACTTAGCCGACAACTTCAATCAAGCACATACGGATGCGAGCTTTGGTGGAGGTAAACACCAGAGGAACAGGGAATTAATGCAAGTCCGCACCCTAGCCACTCACTTCAATCAGCTGGCATTCTATGTGCTGTTGTGTCTAGCCACACATTAGGAAGGGCAAGGGTAGATAAAGCAGACAATCTTAGGGTCTGGCTTGCGAGCAATATAAAAAAAAAATAACTTCTGCTTGTTTTATAGGGGATTTTTTTTAAGCACAGTTAAAGGGTTATTCCAGGCACCACAGTCATTTCAGTGATTTGAAAGTGGTGATGGTACTTGACGTCTGTATGTGTAGCATTTTGCTAAGAAACACAAAACACTAAGTGTTTAAGTCCTTTTGTGCTGGAAGTACAATTCCACCTCTGTCAGAGTCATTGGGCAGTCAGACAGCACAGAACAAAACCGGGGACCGGAATTATAAGGGTTACTATAACCAAAAACTGTGTGTGTTAAACCACACTTATCTTATTGATCTTATTGGTTATAAAAACCTTTTCATCCAATATTGGTGTTTCCAACTAGTTTCTCTTTAAATTAGTATCTCTCTCTGCAAAAGCATTTCGAAAACGTACAAAAATAGCCTCCTCTGATGGTAATGCTTTATCTCCCAACAATCAGTCATTAACAGAATCCAGGAAAATAGCACTGCTTCTAATTGAGTAGTCTGCAATCTACAGACACCTTTTACAGAAAAAAAGCAGAATGTGTAAGACAGTAAGCAAAGATAAACTGAATCTCTTCTTCCAGTTATAGATAACATATCAGTTCTGATATATATGGCTTGGTGGGAAAAGAAAAAGGGGGCGTAAGGTTAATGAAAAAAACAAAACGCTGTCAATATGACGATGACCAGGTTACAGTACTCACACAGTGGCTAACAGTGGAAAAATCACAAAATAAATGACCAATGTAAATTTCTATCAATACAACTCCCTTTCACCCTAATTAGAAAGGCGTAAACATGTTTGTTTCACAAGGAGTGAAGTGAGACATTGAACTGTTTTAATCCAATGAATCAGATGAGATATACAGACTAGTAAAGAGAGAAAGACATGCAATAGTACATCTGCTAGTGTAATAAAAGAAATCAGACACACTGGGCGAGATATATCAAAGTGATGTGTTCTAGAACATGGTGCAGTAATGTAAAATGGACTGTGCGTGCCTGCTTGTTTTCACTTGTCTCTATGGCGACAGCCCCCACATTTAGTACTCTGCACTATTTTTAAAACACGTTGATAACTTTTCTCTTGTAAAGGTGATTCCTTGTTCAACAAATGTTTAAGTGTGACCGCTGGCCTGCACCACATCAAGCCTTTTGGATTACACTCGAACACTGCAATGTTCTGTGCCATAAAATTAATATATGCACATTCTGGTACATACTGCTAAGAGAAACATTTGTAAATCTAATTTTTCTTCCTTCGTGATGAGGTAAACTGGACTTTGAGAGGCTACTCCTAGGATGTAGGCTCAGGTCTCGCTCTTGGTTTAGGAGTAAGGACTGTGTTTTTTCAAATTTATGAATTTGAGCCCAACATTTATGGTGTGAAGATGATCTCATTAAGCAGGGATATGGAATAGTGAGGAACGACAACACTGTGAAGGAAATATCTTGTACATTTCAAGGAGTAGGTTTAAATTAGTGAAAATTTAAATCTTCACAATTTCATTCCCTGCAAGAGAGCCTCTAGAAAGTCATGGAGGAGTGGACATCCATCTGATCTGCTTTTTAAAAAAAGCAAACAAAACTGGATTAAGTAAGGGACTCTTGTTCATCTTCATTAGGTGTAATATGAACATCTGGAAATATGCCACACTTTCAGTTGAAGGGACAATACAGTCACCAACACTACTTCATCTCAACAAAGTGGCCGGGGTGCAGAGACCCTGTCCCGTGACGAAGGAGCCCATAGGAAAGCATTAAATCCAATTCATACCACCTCGATGACTTTGCAAAGACGTGAGCAGGGCAGAGTGAGCCTTGACGATGGGAAAGGGTAAACAATTGTTTGTTTTTGTTTTCTGCTACATATTTCTAGCAAACAGGGGTTAGGGGGCAGTTATATCTAACTAGAGACATGGGCACTATTGCGTCAGTAATAGAGGCCTGTGTTCCTTTAAGCATGCACACAGCAAATTAAATGGTGGAAGTAGCTTTCTCAAAATTACTTACATTGGTGAGGACTCAACGATGACTATTATTGTGAACTGTGGATACCGTTTTTAGCACTAGTAAATTAATAACTGTAATAAGACCGTCGTGTTGACAGAAGGCATTTATTTTTCTCCTTATGCCAAATGCATCTGTACTACACTCCAAAACATTGCTTCTAACTCACCTCACAAATACAACAGCAAACAAAATAATCAACATAGAACAAATTATAAAGATCAGCAGGATTGCCTAGACTTCCTAGTTAAAGCATTTCTTTTAATTTTATTTAGGGGTGGGGAAAATGTATGCATTGTTAAAAGGGGTGTTTATAGTGTTTGTGGTTCTGTAGATCTGCTAAAGATCATTCTTTAAGGATAGGCGAGTCCTCTATACGCTCACAGTGATTGAATGTTTAGAGGCATAGCAGGCATTGGAGGGCTAAAAATGCCGAAATCCGCATGTAATATGGAAGAGGGTACATATGTCTCACAAAGTCACATTTTGTGACAGGAGTTCAAGAGAAAAAAACTAAAGTTACATTTGCAAGAGAGCAGAAAGGGGCGTCTAATATAATGTGAAATTAATGTGTGTATAATAAAGGACATAATGCAATTTGCAAAGACAAGTTCAATTTTAGACCTGTACCTATTAGTGTTATTAAAGAAACACCTTAATAATCTAAAAATGAAAAACCAGTCTGGACCTGATCAAATCCCAGCAATGCTGTTGAAGCTCAGTGTGCCGGCAATTGCTAAACCCATCACAACCCTAATTAACAAATCCTTGGTGTCTGGATACATACCCAACTTTTGGAAGACTGCGAGAGTATTGTCTATCCATAGAAGTGGTGACATTACTTTAGCTTCTAACTAGGGATCGATCGATATTGATTTTTTTAGAGCAGATACCAATAATCTTTGAACTTTCAGGCCGATAGCTTACCGATATTCTGTACATTTACCGTTTTGAGAGAAAAAAAACTTTTTGTGCAAATCTTTTTTTTATTAAGTGGTTAACGCATAAAATATACATGCCAGTCAGATTTTTAGGTTTTCCATAATATGTGCGTGTGTGTGTGTGTAGTGGATGCAGTGAGAGTATTTGATTAGTAAATGCAGTGTGTGTGTGTGGTGGATGCAAAGTGGGTAGTGGATGAAGTGCCGCCCCTGCCCCCCATACCATAGTATTTTCCCTCCCCTGTCCCATAGTGTTCTTTCCAATAATCGGTCTATCCCGATTTCTAACTATCGCCCAATATCATTGCTCCCAGTATTGTCAAAAATCTTAGAAAAATGCATCCATATGCAACTATATGAGTTTTACCAACAATCTAACTATCTGACCCCTGATCAATCAGGTTTTCGCCCAAATCACTCCACTACAACTGCCCTCTTAAAAGTTTGCAATGACATCCAAACTGGCATGGCACAACGATACCTTAACTGGAGCTATTGTCCTTGATTTTGCAAAGTCCTTTGACACAGTAGACCACAACATTCTACTAGGTCCGCTAACCTGGTTTTGACTATATGTATTAGATCGATCACAATATGTCTCCATTTCTGACAGCGACTCCTTTCCTCTCCCTGCCGTGTGTGGTGTCCCTGAGGTTCCATTCTCGGCCCCCTATTATTCACATTATTTATAAATGATCTGCCTAATGTCTGCAAATCCTCAAATGTACACATGTTCACAGACGACACAGTAATCTATGCAAGCAAATCCAATCTACCGCAGCTTGAGGCTGTGCTCCAAGACCAGTTCACAGAGGTAGAAAAGTGGATCGCAAAAAACAAACTCTTCCTAAGCACTGACAAAACGGTCACAATGAGCTTTACAAAATTCCCATCTATGCATCAAAACAAAATCAAATAGCACACTGACGCAGTCCACTCGTTCAAATACTTGGTTATGTTGTTAGACCACATCTATCTTTTGGCCTCCACATAGAAAAAATTGCATTTAACCTTCATCCTAAACTAGATGCCCTGTACAGAAACAAATCCTGCTTAAGCACCACAGTAAAGGAAAATATTGTACTGCAAATGCTGATGCCAATCATTGATTATGGGGGATGTAGTATATGCACCTGCACTGCAAACCCACGGTAATAAACTTAACACATTGTATAACTCGATAACCCGATTTGTGCTACAATCTAGTTACATACTAAAAGAGCTAAACTGGCAGTCGCTGGAATCCAGACGCACCCTTCATCTTTCCAACCTTGTGTTAAAGAGCTTTTCTGGGAAGCTCCCGCCCTACCTGAGCAGAATGCTCTCCCCAGCTGTTCCCACTTCCTATAACCTCCGATCCAGTAGCAGCACTTTAGTCTACCTCAATACAAAAAGAAAGCAGCCAGATCCTCCTTTTCCTACAGAGCACCGCAATTATGGAACGACCTCCCGCACACTTTCAAATCTTCCCCAGGCCTAAAGTCCTTTAAGAGATCCCTCTCTACATACCTCAAAACAGAATGCACCTGTTGATTGTATATTTCCTACCTGTTCTATGTTAAATTTGTATATATTGTGTATTAATATTGTGTTTGTATTCTATTGTACCCTATTGTATCAATGCAATGATTTGTGAACCCAGGACATACTTAAAAACGAGAGAAATCTCAATTATCCTTCCTGGTAAAATATTTTATAAATAAATAAAAATAAATAATTAACACAGAACATTTCAAGCAGAACAATGTTAGGCTGCAGGGTCGTAAAAACCATGTTATCTGCTGCCAATACAATAAAGGCTAAATCTTCCTTTACATAAGAGACACGCTTTACCAGTGAAACACTTATTTACTAAATTGAGAATTGGGCAAATTGGAAAAATTGTCCAAGACTGCTATGTTAGTCTGAAATACACATTGAATTCACTTCAAATTCCTCCTGATTCTTACTTTTTAGTAAAATAAAAACCCTGAAAATCAAAGTTAGCAATAGCATATTCAAGCACGTTACACAGAATGTAACTTATCCGTTTGAAAGCCTATTAGAAAACCAATACAGAAAATACACACACCATGAATAAAAATTTTAAAAAAACAAAGCTTACTTTTGCCTGTTATTGTAAAGGAGATCTGCTAAACCAGTGGTTCTCAAACCAGTCTCATGGCCCACCAACAGTCCAGGATTTCTGTATTTCCCTGTTTTATTACAACGTAGATACTAACAAAACCTGGACTGTTGGTGGGTCTTGAGGACTGTTTTGAGAAACGCTGTGCTAAACAGTGACAAGGCAACTCTGCAGATATTCTCTATTGTTAATCTGCTTTACTATGAATCTCCTGAAATAACAGACGTTTGTCCCCTAATCATTTTCTGCTTTTAAATCTTACACAGCGTAAAAAAAATAAATATGGGGAAAAAAGTTCCACCGTTTGAAATTTCCCACTTCGTTTTACATTTTGTTCTAAATTGGCTTAAATGGCTTAAAAACTCTCCCTCTGTTATGTTTTCAGTTTGGCTAATTTAGCCCAAAATTAAAAAAAAAAATCAGATTGACTATCCAACAATTCACAGTTTAGTAAATAGCAGTGAGTTGGTGTGTGAGATATACCGGAAAGCAGATTGACATCAGAGGCTATCTGCAGAGTTGCCTTGCCACTGTTTAGAAAATCTCCCACTAGGAACTGCTATACAATAACAGGCAAGAAGTAAGCCCTAGACGTTTTCACCTAATCAAAATACTCTGGAAACTCTATCTGTTCACACAATGTGCATAATGTCTGCTGGAATGTAGCTGGACACTTGGGGTCAGAGAAAGCTCTCCTTGGCTCTCACACTTCTGATTTCACACGGACAAATAAAAATTGTTGCCAAAGAATCCTGAAAGCCGCAGAATAAAATAGAATGGAAGAATATGACACATTGTGCCAAGGAAAGAATATGATACGTTGTGCCAAGGAAAGGCAGATCCCATCTCCTGAGGAATGATTTATTGCACGGTCATCACAAGATTGGCTTGAACAAGACAGACATTAACACTGAGAACAAAAGGAAAATGAAAGAAATGGTGGGCTGGAAGAAGAAAGGTGATTACGTATTAATGAACACATCATCACCTGGAAATGACTGTGTTCTAAGATAATGTCCGATAAGGGAGAGATTCCAAAATCTGATGGATTGAACAAGGTGGTAGCATGGTTACTTGTCAGGAATTCAAATTTATCATCAAAGTAGCTGAACTAGAAGATTAGGGGACTTGGAAAATTTTTCCAGTTGAGCTTTTCTGGTATTAATTTGGAATTCACAACGATTCTCACGTTAGAGTAGACACTTAAAACCAATGTGATTATGTAATGTAAAAAAAATAAAATAAAAACTATTCAAAGCTTCCTAACTGTAGCAGAGAACTTTTTTTGGTTTCCAGAGCAATGTCTGCATTTTCTTAAGCACCATTGACACACAAGTTTTTCATGGAGAGAATCTCAAAGCAGTGGTCAAAACCAATGCTGTATAGTAAAATATGTGAAGGCAGGGACAGTTAACATGTCTACGCCATATATACTCTACCGTAATACTGAGCACAATCGGATGAAAAATGATTTCTCTGCCAAAGTGTAATTCGTAGCGTGAATCAAACTAATTGATCTTTAACACTGCCTATGATAGTAAGGATAATCACAGTCCTCACATTTTACTACAGCTCTGAGTTGGAGGAGATTGCATTTTGGCTTTCCACTATTTTTAAACTCTATTCTGTAAAAATGATAAGCAACGGTCACAAACATTACAGTATTGTCCAATTCCAAGCAACAATGCAGAAACACATAAATATCCACTGCAAGACAGCTGTAAACGTAAGAATCACAATACGGATAGATTTTGCAGAATAATACTTTAAGAATCAATCTCAAAAGGATTTATAAATGGCAGGTACTACATAAAACAATGCAGTAATTATGTCATGCTTTCTCAAAACAAAGATCAACATTTTGCAATAAAATAGTCAGATCATGAAGTCAGCACATTGTTATGAGCGGTTTATACGTGGAGCGTTATGTTTCCACCATGGTAAGAAAAATACAGATGAGCATTTAGAAATAAATAAATAAAAAATCTTATTCTTCAAAAAACTAAAAACAGCAAAGATTGTGAAGAGTTAATAAGCATTGCCAGAGGGTATTTGCAGGAGTTGGCTCACAGCTGACAGCAGCAGCTGTTCAAATGTCTGCTAAACAGCTGCTCAGAGCGTGTGTCGGTTCTAATGCTGGGTTTTGCACCTAAACCAAAAAGCAAATAGACGGTAAGTGTGACCCTCAGCAGTCAGACATGTTTGTCTGGGGGGCTGACTTTATAGACATAACAAGCTACTTTACGGTCTTATGAGTTAGTGCTTTGATATAGAAAGGAGTTCTATACCATTCCAGAACTTTGCAGGGCAAGTATGAAAACATTAAGAATGGAGCAGTCTCCATGGAAACCAATGGAATGTGGTAACAGATTGATGCATTACAAAAGCAGAACTGCTCTTTATTATCGCCATTTATATAGCACCAACAGATTCCGTAGCGCTTAAAAATATTATGAGAGGGGGATTTAGCATGCTCCTCCAGCTGTTTGAGATTCTTACTCAATTACCTCTTCATTCCCTTTATATTTTATCAATAGCTGCTTCTCTCTGTTAACTATTTTAGCCATCACCTCCAAATTTCCCCTGCTACCTTTTTTCTCAAAACCCCACGGTATCCTTTAGATCAGGCTTCCCCAAACTCCGGCCCTCCAGATGTTGCTGAACTAAAACTCCCATGATTCTATGAATGAAATAGGCTAAGAATCATGGGAGTTGTAGTTCAGCAACATCTGGAGGGCCGGAGTTTGGGGAAGCCTGCTTTAGATTGTAAGCTCACAGGCTAACAAAGCACTTTGTAAAGTGAGATATAACAAAGATTTAGTTATTTCCTATTCGATAACAAGTGCTTTTCATTAATATGTTTTTCAGGAAGGATCACTGCTCAAGTCAAAGCGTTAATGTAAAGATCCGTACAGCTGTTTATGAAATTACTTTGGCTGCTGTTCGTATACTATAATAGTAGGGAGGGGTTTATAACAGACCAAATAAAACTAAATGGGAGGACCCAAAACCCTCCCCGAGTATTCTACCATTTAAGAAGTCTCTCAAACCTCATCTCCTCAGAATAGCCTATACCACGGGCTTCCAGGATAAATTATACCTTGCGCTCTCTTAAAATGTCCTACTAAACTGTCACCTTCCAATTCTACAATTTTTCCACCCTGTCACTTTGTTGCTTTCCCCGTCGCTTCCTTTCCAATTGTGTTTATATACCACATTTCCTTTAGATTGTAAGCTTTTTGAACAGGGTTCATCAACCTATTATTCCTGTATTAATGTGTAATTGCCTTACTTGTTAAATCCCCCCTTCATAAGATTGTATAAATTGTAAAGCATTGCAGAATAAGCTGTCGCTGTATAGAACACCAATAATTGTAAGTTTTAATGAATGAATATCTGTTGTATTACTTTATTATTCATATAGCGCCAGCAAATTCCGTAGCATTTGTAATGTATTATACAATTAAAAAACAAACAATGTTTTCTACCTGAATGACAGGCTGTGCATGAGAGTAAACACCCGAGGGATCAGAGAATGGTGATCTGTCTTATGCTACAAAAATACACTGTGAAATATGCCAAAAGTGTACTAATGCTTACTACCATATAAAACAAATTGTATTTCATTAGCATCTTCATACTGGCAAACAGTACTGTGTGCAGCCACAAACTAAAATCAATTTAACAGGATAGGGATTTATATTGTGGCAGAAATACACATAGCTAGTGTTTAACCTGTCATTCTATGACAGCTGCAACAAAGTTTTCAATGGGAATACAGCCCTGTTTACAGAGCATTCGCAAGTCCATTTTTTAAAGGGGCACTCCAAGCTTTTTTCTGTAGGCACACTACAATCTATTTTATGGTTTCTCCTCTGCATTTTAATCCACAGGGAAAATCAGTTAGTACTCCTGAGTCCTGACGGTATTTCTGGTCAAAATAGCTTCTCAAAATAATGGTGTGTAAATATAGGGATTATTTATACAAATTGTCTAATGGCAGTACAATCATTCAGTTACCAGAAGCTGTAGGTTTAAGTTTTTACAGTCAAGGTACAAGCACACTCATTTGCACCCATAAGTTAAGACAAACACACTGACGAGGGTCGAATATAGGTAGTACAGCAAGCTATGCTGAAGTTCTAACAAAGTTCCCTAATTTAATAGAAAAACACTATTCATTCTTCCAAATTAACAACAATTGAACGAACAAAAAAAAAGTTAAATGGAAAAATATACTACCTCTGGATCAGGTAGGGAGATGTTGCACACAATCTTTAACTGATGAGTTTAAAACAAGAATGTTCTTGCTCGTTATGTATTGTGCCCCTTATATCTTACTGGCACCAAATTGGTGGAGTCCAATTACTGGACGTAGACTCTTTTGAACGAGCCCCTCTTTAAAAAAGACTAAAAGCCCCAGATGAAGGTGTGTGTTGGTTGTTTATTTGTCTTTGGCATTAAGGCTGAATTTATTTTGTGTCTATGGGATGTGTAGATACTTTAGAATTATGCATGGATTATTTTTCTTATAGGTTTATTATCGGATTGGTTCAGCATTTAGGGAGGGCAACCTAAGTATGGTATGTAGGCGTCCAACAGCTCTGAGATGTAGTACTATCCCTTTTAAATTATTTAGTGTTATTTATCCTTTCTTTTGGGGGTAACTATCTTGGTGTAAGGATCTTGTGGCTCTGAGATATGGTATTTAGGATTCTTTACCAAACTATGAATCTGCTCAAATTAAGTTGTCTCAAGGGGGCTCTATGTGTCACCTTGTAACACTGTTCCTGCATACTCCAGCTCCTTACAAGGTGGGATTCTAAATTGCAATTACATTCTTTTTTTTTTGCTACATTACATTTTATTTGCTCTATAATTGGAATCAGTATTAATCCTAAAATCTGAGACAAATCCCTATGAACATATACATGATTAACAATTCTGTGTTATACATTCAGAGTGATATATCTGTCTAACAATATACATACCTCACTGGATCTATTTTGACTCCCCCCATGCTTTATGTGGATAATTTAGCAGATATGCCCTCCACACAAAATCTCCAGAAAAAGGATATCCCAAATAGAAACAGAAATTAAGTGGGAGGAGACTCTTTCCTACTTTTAATTGTTGTTTTAATACGGAAGTAATTGGCTGCACTATTTAATCACTGGGTTTTCTGATAAGTTAGCTTATTAATATGAGGAAGCATGTCCTTTTTTTTTTTATATACAAATTGACATATTGAGCTAATATAGCCAGGGATTCTCCAGTTTCATCCACTTTAAGGGGATTATATATATTTATTTTTATAAATATATAGGGTTAGGACCGTCCTCTTTTGGAGAAGTCTCGGTCAAAGCGACCTTTTTTTCTTTTTCTCTTTCCTTTTTTAAAAACGAGAATGGTCATTTTATTGTGTGTATGCAATATAAAGTGCCCGTATGCTTGGGCAGCTTTAAAACAATGCATTTTGAATATATACTGTAACGAAATAAGTCTACATTTACACTGGTTTAATTCACAAGAATAGCCCTGCCACCAGGTGTAAAAAAATGCCTTCTCTGTCATTTTCTGTGTACTTATGATGTATTTAAGGTCTGAAAAATATGTGGACAATCACACCTTTTTAACCCTGCCGCTAAGCACCTCCATCCTAACTCCCTGTCAATCATTGTCCTTTGCAGTCACAGAGAAAGCAATCAGAGAAGAGATTGTACATAAAACAATGGCTTTGCATTGCCTGAACTGGATTGTGAGGTTTTATTTATTTTGCTGAAACTTTAATATACATTTTCTGTATGATGGAAATTAAAATGTGAGTCTACACACACACACACACAGCAAAAAAGGTCCATGTCACTTACAAAAATCCCACCACTTATGTAATGACAGTCAACGGCTGTTTTTAGACCACATTTAATAAGGCAATTGAGAACAGTAGATTCCATTTATCTCTGGAAACAGCATTAGAAAGTGAAATCCAGTGGTCCAGGTTATTGCATACACTGAGCTAGGGACTGCGTTCCTGGCCTTTTAACCACCCAAAAAAGATTAAGACAACCTTTGATAGTTTCCCTCTTTGGTATCTTTTTACAAGGGACACACAGAACATGATTATTCAATAAACAGGAAATTACTAATTTAGAGGACTACGTTTTTTTCAAATCACTACAATTTGGTGTTTAGCAAATAAACCCCACATGCTTAAAACCCAGGAGACTTAAAGCCTTTCCAGTAGTAGACAGCTGTGTAAGCCTTTACAATTTAATTCAAAATACAAGTAAATCAAGAATAGTATTGTATAACCCCCACATTTTTAAATCTATTAAAATGCATTTAATTGATTTACATGAAATGACTTTGTATAAAGATTGCACCTAAATATGGATGTTTATTTTGACAGTTGAGCACATGCATTGTAATACAAATAATGATAAGGTAATTACTTTACACCCTTATACATATCTGATTGGGTACATTGTTTTTAAAGATTCTGTATTTTTAGGTTTTCATGTAGTAAGGACAATATGATAGAGATCATAACAGAGTAAAGTAGTACTATAAAGTATTATACAATGTAGAACTAACGTCAAATAAAGCAATGCAATATTGCATTTATACGGAGCTAAATGATTTTAACATCTATTAACGAAAATTCAATCACAAGCACTTTTTTTTTACAGGACGATATATATAAAATAAAAACAAATAAATATAAAAAAAAACAAAAACAACCAAACAAAACACCAGACGAACACTAAAGTTATTACACAGATCAGAAAAAGAGAGAGAGAGAGAAAAAAAAAAAGAGGGAATCGATGCAACAGAAAATGGAAAAATAATAATTTGAAATAAAACAAGCAAAATTATTTTCATGCGCAAAACAGAAACTGCAATAAACAGAACTAAGGCACATGTGTCTCCTTGCAAGGCTTCCATGAAAGAGTAGATGCTTAGGTTTTAAATCAGTTAGACTTGCCTTGTAATTCACGGTTTCTCTTTTACTGCATCAAAAGCATTGCACAGAAATACAAAGCAATAGAAAAGCAGACAGAAAACTAAGACTTACTGTAAAGAAAAGCTCCATGACTCTGCTGTCGAGGAGGGTATCACGCCAGGACTCTGTCGGTTTCAGCATCACATTTTGGGAGGACTCAAACATAGCTATATAATGTCTGCCCAGTTATCTGGTGTCAAGGTCAACAACAACATTCCTACTAGTCTTTAAAGAAAGGAGGAAAAAAAAAAAAAAAAAAAAGAATCCAGGCCTTGCTAACAGCACCATCCACTACAAAAGAATGCAATGGAAACAAACTTTAAGCCTCTTCACATACACGGCATAATTCATGCATGAGGCCAGAGAATAAAAGGTATTAAGGACTGAAAATAAGAATGCTCAAGGAATGTTCGATAACAGTTTGATCATTATTATGTCGTGCCATAGTGATACCATCACTTTGATAAGCAGGGCACTAATGTGACAGGAATAAGAGGGGAAACAGCAACAGCCCATGACAGGTGCTACAATTTATGCAAAACAGAACTTTTCATTTTATTTGTTTGGAGACAAAATCCACGCAGATCCAACATGTACAGAGGCTGTATGTTACGCCAGAGAAAGCATACGTTAACATGTTTTAATTATTCAGATTCCCCGTGATTGAGCAGAGAGAAGATAAGGAAGGAAGGAAGCAATTCTTGTGTATTTATAGACATGCTGCTAACTAGGGGATGACAGGCAAAGAGCACAAATGGATGCAAAATCAGAAAGACCTCATATAATACATCTTTTAACCTTATCTTAAGTAACCACTAATTACACCCTCTGTGATAGCTCTAAGGCCTCTGTTGTTGATTAAATGTTTTAATAGACCTCAGACATCCTGCCTATTATTAGTGACATGAAGCAGAAAGATCTTCAACCAGGCACCACAGACATTCATACTAGCTGCATGTACATAGACTTGGGAACAGCGAGTGTCCAACAATCTGATGTACTCAAAATATACCTTGATTTTGGGGCCTACTGCAAGGCAATTTAAATGGCTAGATACAGTATAAACTACATAATACTGCATACTACTCTATTAACCTTGTCTGTGAAGCCATTATACAAGAATAAAAAAAATACAAAATAATAAAATCAGAAGGAAAAATTTAAATCTATAATAAACATAGCATATAGAAATTTTTTTAAAATAAAAACAAAAGCAAAAGTTACCTGCTTGAGAAAAAACTTCTAATGGGCCAAGTTACAGGACAAAGTAGAAAAGGTCCAACGTTTCAAGAGGAACATTTAATATAAGGGGTGGAGATCGTCTATGGGAGGTGTTTGGTGACTTCATCATATACTGATGGTCATTAATCAATTCAGACAAGTCATTTGGAATACCAAATTATTTTATTTACACTAAGGCCGAAACACATTTGTGATATAATTCACAATGATTTAAAGACATGTGAAATTGAGGAATACCTCTGCCATACTCAAAAATACACTCCAGATGTTATGATCATCTACACCAAGATTGGATTGTAAAAGGAAAGTAGGTATTTAATATAACTGCTACGCAATTTAATCACGTGTCTACTTGATGTCGAGGATGGTAGTTTAGGCAACGAGGTTATTGAAAAATAAGTAACTTTGCATACAATAAGTGTTAACTAAGCTTTAGAGAAACCAACTACTTTTCTATCTCCTAAACTGCAGTTTAAACTCAATAAAAGCACGCAAATTGAAGCTCTTTGCACACCTACGATAACAAGTTAGCAACAGCAAAGCTCAGCTGGATTGGTTTTGCATATTAGTAGGGGAAAACAATCCATTTGTGGTGCATCTACACATGGACTAGCAGGTCAAATCTCAAGACAAGTAGATACAGAACTTTGGGAAATTGGTCATTGTCACAAACAACAACAGACATATCAAACACCATAATGGCTGCCAAGGTTAAAATAAATATCAGATAAAAAAAAGGGCATTGAATCGCCGACAAGCAGAACCATGTACTTCACCTCTTTACTCCTAAACCATACTGCTTTAATTTGCCTTAAAGTCACACAATGTGTCTTGAGTCCATCACACCTACCACACTCCATCTTCCAAGCCATGTTGTTGATCCATTAACATGTTTTTCTTTTAAAAATGTTCACCCTGAAGACTTCTAAATCATTTTGCAAACCCTTTGAACTCGTTCCCTATCTGCAAGTTCTTTTTAAAAGGTCCCTCCTCTTTACCAATGGCAAGAACCCTCCCTCCTCATCTGAAATCACTTCCTTTCCCATTCTTCAGTATCTAGAAGAACTGCATCTTTTCGGGGAAGCCTATTTATCCTTCGGGCATGTCACACCAATGTTACTGTTTGAGGTGTATGTTTTCAACAAACTCAGAATGTGGAGTAAGGAGTGTTTCCATTCTGTTCAAAAAAGCACTAATGGTTGTACTACACTGCAAGTTTGATTACAGTGGGGAGTAATTTATCTTCACCTAGCTTACTAAGTTATGTTATAATGCACCTCGAATGGCTAGGTTCCTAATATATCTGTATGATGCATAAACACCACTGTGACTTCCTTTCACTTTATCTCTTTTCAAAGCAGAATGGTTCATTGTTTGCAAAACTGTATAATAAGTTAGTCTTCTGGTCCACACGGTCTTGGTACTAGTGATGTCTAAAGTCCAAGGCAGGATCAAAAAACAAACAAATAAAACCAAAATTCCACACACATCCCTGTGGAACCAGGTCCATTTCAACCACCAACATGTCTCCGCAGACCCTAACAGTCCAGTTTGCCTCTATAGTTGCATCACCACTGTATTTTCAAACACTTTAAATAATACAGAATCTATGGTAGGGCCAAAAAAAAAAAAAAAAGAAGAGGCCTTAATAGATTATCTTTAAAATGTTAATTAACAATTGGATAAAGTACTTTTTCATCTCATGACAGTTCATCCTTATAAACCGAACTATCGTTTATAAATGTGGAAACAGCCAAGTAGTACATATTTTTGTGCATAAACTCTGCGACCAAAACTATCAGAAAACGTACTGGCTCAGCTGTCTACTACGAAGTTTATTTCCAGACTTATGCATTGGGTGCATGCATACAGGTTTATGGATGAATACACGTATCTGGGTATTTCCTAGCACAGTGTACAGATGGCAGGTTATCCTTCGTGTGCTACCATAATATATTCATTTAGCATTTGAAGTAGGATAACAATGCATTACTAAGAGATACACTAAAGCCAGCTATTTAATAAAAAAATAAACCTTTTGAAATTGTTGAAGGACCTGAATTAAATGGATTCTTAAAAACCAAAAGCAAGAAGGAGAAGTGCACATTGTTTCAGTACTATTCCTAACAGGTGACAAGGCCGTGCTATAGATATACAGCATGTGTATAACCTTTTTGTTAGATACATGGTGGGCATTGGTATACCATGCATCCAGCCAGTCAGAGTTATGAAGCTACTGAAAAGGAGTGATCAGTGACCAGAAGACTACAAAGTAACTGGAACTGTCATCAACATGACAGAAAATCCCAAAAGAAATCAGGGGAGCCCACCCATGGCATTCTAATTTGCACAAACAGCTCATATAATCTTCAGTTGTCCCCACTGACCTCTAGTAAAGCACTTGATCAGAGAGGCTGCGTGTTAATGACGGCCAACGTGGTCTGTAACAATGCACCGCTAATGGAGAGGAACCAGAGTTAGCTTTAAAAGGAGTGTTCTGCTGCCTGTTACATTCCATGGGCATTGTGATTTGCTTCTCTACAATGATGTCTGCCAAAGGCCTCTAAAGGATGTTGAAACACAATAATATCATAAGGGCTTTTCAAAGACAAAGGTAATCTAATACAGTGGCTTATTTATACTGGAGGTATGGAAGTCACATCTCTTATAAACATGTGACATCCAAGCAGGACATGCATCTATTATTTTTGGCATTTATATAGTGCCAACTTTTTCCACAGCACTTTACAATATTATAAAAGGGGGGAATTTACCAATAAATAAAACAATTACTAAATGCTACAGGAACAATAGGGATGATTAGGATCTTGCACAAATGAGCTTACAGACTAGGGGAAGTGGGGTAAAAAAAACATAATAGGAAGGGCATAGCAGCCAATGACAAGGTGGGAAAGTAGCAGAACTGAAAGGTAAGAGTGAAGTGTGGCCCTTTAAGCAAGAGCAAAACACAGGTTTGTGAAATAGAAGTTACTGTGGGAGGCCATAAGCTTTCCTTTAAGGTATGGGTTTAGAGGGACTTCCTAAAATGATTAAAGACTAAGGGAAAGTCTGATGAGGGAAGGCAGACTGTTTTAAAGGAAAGAGGCTGCCCGGGAAAAGCCCTGCAACGTAAGTTAGCAGTAAGGGTGTGAGCAGCTGACAGGAGAGGGCCACCGACAGAGAAGAGAGACCAAAAAGTGGCATACCCATGAATAGGTAATGAAATGTAGCAGGTAGGGGTGATGAGGTGTTTAGAGAGAATAAGTTTCAGAAAGTGGGAGGACATCCAATCAGAGATGGAAGAAGGGCAAACAATGATGAGTTCTAGGAAAGAGAGAGAGAAATCACGTGAGGAGCGATACATGGGTTTCATTTACGTACAGGTGGTAGAGGAACCCAAAATAATATGTTTGCGAAGAGAGGCAGTATGAAGAGAAAACAAATGGGGATCAAGAATAGAACCTTGGGGGACTCCAGCCAAGACAGGCTGAGGGGAGGAGACAATAAATCAAATGTTGGGAAAGATAGAAGAACCACGAGAGGACAGTGTCAGAGATACCGAGGTAAGAGTTTGAAGGAGGAGGACATGAACAACATTGTCAAATGAAGCAGAGAGGTCAAGAAAAGTTAGTATGGAGTAGTGGCCACTGGATTTAGCCATGTTTAGATAATTTGTTATATTAATCAGAGAGGTCTCAGTAGAGTGGAGGGGACGGAAGTCAGATTCAAAAAAGGTTGATGGAAAGAATTGGAATTGAGAAAGCAAGCCAGATGAGTAAAGACAAGTCATTCTAGAAGCTTAAAAGAAAAATGGAGCACGTATATGGGACAATAATTCAATAGGGAAGGTGGGTCAAGAGATTTTTTTTTTTTTAGGAGGGGTACAACAGTAGCATGTTTAAGGGGAGCAGGCACAATGTCAGAAGAAAGAACAGTTGAAGGTATGCGTAAAGGATGGCACAAGACAAGGAGA